CGTATTGTAACCGAAAATTGTATCGATATAATAATTAACTATGATGACTTAAATAACTATTTTACTAATAAAGTTTCTCCGTTTTTTTGCAACATGTTTCATTGATGCTCGGCTCCTTTTGGTCAAATTCAAATTAAATATAACTTTATTTCATAAAAAAATTAAAATCGTTTCAAATCGTCTTTTATGTAGACTCAAAATTCGTAGATCAACAATCTCTGTTTTGTCAAATAGTAAGGAAAAATAAAATTTTATAAAATTTATGCTTATACAAACAAACTCATGGCCACTCTTTTGCAATTTACAGATAAATACAATGGCATCATTAAATATACCATAACATTGTTCCGATGTGTGCACTATGTCGTAGCGTGATGTTATATAGCTAAAGCTTTTCTCGATAAATGGGCTATGGGCTAAAGTACTTTAACGTTCATTATTATAGTATTTTGACATCATTGAAACATTGAAATCCATTATCCTGGTATCATATAGATGTTTAGTTTTGCCGCCATTAAGTAGGCACATCAAAAAATCATGGACTTAACAGTCATGAACCACAAATCTTATAGTAGTGACTGCGGCATAATTAATTAGGAAATGGCTGTAATGTAATAAAGTAATCTAGGTATATTCGAGCGACAAAACAGACAGGTACATGCAAAAACCTAAATTATAACAATATCTTGGATAATTATGAACAACTGGATAATGCAGTATGAGGTAGAATAGAATATTATTATTTTATATACACGAACAGTCTAATAGTGTAATGAAAACCGCAATAATAATTAAGAAACCAATGCCAAACGAATGACTTCTTTATCGTTGCAAGAAAAATAATTTCAATGTTTTAAATTAACTGTATATGTGGTTAAATTTGTCCGTGAAGTAGATTCAAAGTTGATCATCAATATTATTGGTAATATCAAACAACAATATTAATGACGGAAATGATTTCACTTTAACTTTTATAGGATGTGGTTACAGAGTACTTACTAAACAGGTTCGTATCTGTAATTACTTGGTCATAGACTGATGCGAATAGTGTAAAGTTAGCAGGCAAACCTTAGCTTAAATAGTACAGAACAATAATGTGTTGTGATGTGTCTATAAATTAACTATTGAGTGAAATTAAAAATAAATGACGTCGTTATTTATTTATGCAAGACAGATATCCTAAAAGGGTAATTTTAAAGAAATATTTAATCAATTATAGTTTTCCTTGTAATGTGTTCGTTGTTGTTTTATGAGCTATCATGAGGTTCAAATTTTACATTCTTGAACATTCCACAATAAGTAAAGAAAATGATTGCTAAAATTATCTAATTGGTGAAAGTTCAAAAGTTATTACAGATAAAATATTTTTTTAGGGCAGCAGTTCGTAAACGAAACAGGTGCGGCACCTAATACTGATTAATGATCATAAGATGTAGGTATTCTTTTTTTTATTGGTGGTATTTCGTACGCGAACTGACTAAAACCACACAGAGTTCCACTATTTCTTTCCCGACCTACGATTTCTAGTCATGAATTGAAAATCGACAATTATATGATTTGTCATATCTTTGAAAGTAAACATCCTCTCAGAATAACAAAGTGAGTCAATGTCTTCAGATTGCGGCAGTTAAGTTAATGTTAATTTTTCTACTTAAATCAATACGAAAAAAAAAAATATTGATCAAGTAATACAAATAGATAAAAATGAACAACAGCTAGACAACATTTACAGAGGAAAGCTACTATGTACCAAAAAACTTACAAAAGGGCCTTCCTGCGTATACCTATGACCATGCAAAAGTCAGTTTATAATAAAAAAAGCTATATTAAAGTTTTACAATCATTACATTTTTTATGAGTCACGTAATGTAGACGTAATCTATAGTGTTTATTAGTGTGCGTAAAATGTGTTCACGCAAACAAACGGAGGTAATTTTGTGCAATTTTGGAAAATACCTTAAATATTCGACGCCGTCAAGAGGTATCTAATTGACGAGTGGGTGTTCGTATATACTACATATGATTTAATGAATATCTTATCCGTATATGAGAAAACTGTGTTTTTTAGAGTTCCATAAAACCCATAATCATAAATGTCAGCAAAAAGTCTTCTTCTAGTCAAGATTGCTTAAGGAGTTCCTTTTAGATACTGTGTGAGAATGAAACCTAGATATACATGTAATGTAATGTACTGTAAATCAATTATGTTCACACAGACAAACAGTGAAAGTTGTTTTGTGAGGCACTGTATAACCTAATACACTAAATGTAAGCTTAGTAATATAATAAATAAATAATAATAAATAAATAAAATACCCTACTGTATTAATCTGGAAAGATATAGTTTCTATTAAGAATAATTATAAGACAGAGAGTTTATGCAAATTGATTATATCAACGGCAGAAAGCAATTTTGTCCTTGCTCAAAATATCCAATTTTAAATCCAGAACCTAAAACTATTAAAAAAATTCATTAATCGAAAATTTTCTTATACAAATAAAAAAAAAACAAATGCTGTTTCGTTAACTTAGGAATAACATCTTTAGAAGAGAAGTGAAATGGAAAGCCGGTTTTTAATAACATGCTATTCAGTTTTACATTAAGGCCAATATCTGGCGACAATATTGTCCTGTTAAAAAGTGAGATATTTTTGACCTTTAAGTCAAACCATAAAGATAACCACTGCAAATTTAAACAATTTATGGACTTGACTGTTTATAATATGATGATAATATTCTTATAATTATCATCAAATCACACTTACTCTATCTCAAATGTATGACAAATGTGGTGTCCTCCTATTAGTATTTCCTGAATGACAAGTCCTAAACGATGAGAAACCACTAAAAAGAGTTGGCATTAAGAGATTTCACACTTATGAGAACAACTTTTGACAGTTCTGTTGGTCTAGTGGTTAGTGACCCTGAGTGCTAAGCCGGTGGTAGTGGGTTTGATTCACACTTAGAACCAATATTGTGTGAGGGGCATGGTCATTTGTTTTGTGTCTGGGTGTAATTTATCTATGATATTTATTTGTTTAGAAATATATGAGTATGTTTATCAGCAGTCTGGTTGCCATAGCACAGGCTCTGCCTAGTTTGGAACCAGACGGCTGTGCCTGAGATGTGTGAAGCTATTATCAGGTAATGCGTCTCATCATATATATATAAAAAAAAAGACAAAGACAATTTGACTCCAGCTTTAAAAATGTCATCTCACACACGGCCGTCTGATCCCAAACTAGGCAGAGCATGTACTATGGTTCCCTGCTGATAAACATACTTATATATTTTTTAAAGATATTCATAACATTATAGATAAAGTAAACTCAGACACAGAACAAATGACCTGCTCATCAAACAATTATTTGTCCGGGATTCAAACCCACATACCTCTGGCATTGCAGTCAGGATCACTAAACACTAGACTAACAGGCCAGTAAAATTAAATCATAATTATTAATAAATATGTAAATTGCATTATTTAAACTGTGTCAAGGTTGTTTATTGAACTAGTTAACAAGTATATACTAACATGATTAAATAGAAACTTGCAAATCAGTTTTTTGTATGAACTATCAATTTTGTATGACTATGAAAATCATATCAACCAACACTATTACATACATATCATCACATCACATCAACAGCTTTTAACAGTCATCTGCTGCACACAGACCTCTTCTTAAAAAGCCCATATAGCTTTTGGCCTACAATGGCCTACTGGCCAGACAGGTTGGTATAGAGTTTGTGTCCAACTACACAGGACAATAGCACCGCAAAGAGAAGGAAAACTTGACACACCCTATACATACATAATAATATGCTGACACTATTATATATATACGCTATTTGCTATGATACTGACAAACAGTTCCCATGTGTTCTACATTCATCATACTTTTCATATTAATATTATTATTCAACACCACATTACTACCATGAAAATATTAATGACATCTTGGAACATATTACACACTGCTGTCTAGACCTAAGTAAGCCGAGATAATTTATGGGTGGGACACAAGAAATATGCTAACATAAAATAGTTTTTATAAATACATACATATTTTACATAGAAAAATAGTCAAGTAGCCATATTTATGTATACAAAAGTTACTGAGCGGAAATCAAATCCATGTCTAGCATAGCAGTTCACTCATTACCATCACACCACTAAGATCACCATAAAAATAGCAAAGTTATAGAAGTATAAATTGGCTACAGCTATAAATAGTTAATTCTGAACCGAGCTGACAACAGCAACTGCCAATAGCATGTTCAATCATTGCCTGCATGCAGTTACTGCTCTTGCAGCTGCTACAGCTGACAAAGAGTCATTCATACCTTCTGAGAATAGATTATTTCTTTTACTATTATACCTTTCCAGACTATAATGGCATGTGATTAAAGTTAGTGTAAATCTAACATAGAAAATCTGAGAAATTAGTCCCGGCAGAGTCACACTGGATGGCATGTAAGTTTAACTAAATATCTTAGTAAATTTAGATTGAACTTTGCCACGATTTTGATTTCAATTGGGAGGTTATCCCAAAATGGCTGAATGGATCAGGATGAAATTTGACAATGTGATAGACTATTGTCAACAATACATTTTTATCTTAGAGGGATTGATTGTAGTCGAAAGCATAAGCTAGTTTGAAATAAAATGGTTGGTAAATACTACTTAGCCTTCACTGCATAACTGAAATTATTATTCTTATTGCTTTTTTTTCATTTTCACACATACATTTCCATAAAGTTATGATTCTGTAGTACTCTTTTGTTGATTATTTTTTATATTTCTTAACATGTACACAGGCTTCATTCTTCAAATTAATTATCTTTCATTTCAACAAATACAATTATAGCATAAAAAAAGCATCAAATTTTCAGTATTCCATACTTTGTAAGAAGATGGAAAACATGTGTGTGAATTTCGATTTCCAATGTTTATAAACTGTTCACTGAACCATAATGTAAGTAGTAGTGTGTCTCACCTGGTCTGTGCAATCATAAACAATTATGATCCCATGTGCTCCTCTGTAGTATGATGATGTAATTGTTCTAAATCTTTCCTGTCCAGCTGTGTCCCATATTTGTAACTTTATTGTCTTGCCATCTAAGTCTACAGTCCTAATTTTAAAATCCACACCAATAGTGCTGATGTAGCTTTCTGTGTACGTGTCGTCCGCGAACCTGAGCAGCAGACATGATTTTCCAACTCCAGAATCACCAATCAGGAGTAGTTTAAACAAATAGTCGCTGGAAAAGAATATGTAAATAAATATGTATTGGATGCACAACCCTAATCAAGGACAATATGAGCGATGCGCATCAATAAACGTAAAAGATAGAAGGGAGGCGTTGCTTTGTTACCCTAACAAAGAAATTTTATTTGCTACGCATCCAGATTGTTGAACAAGGAAGTGGAGAACTATGTGATACAATCATCGCTCACTAATGCGCCATTCATGATCCATACGATTACGTTTTCATAAATACTTCGATAGTACCTCTAGCTACCACGAATACACCATGAGTCACCCCGATTTGTGGTAAATTGATTTTCTATCGACACTTTTTAACTTGTTACAAATACTACAGTTCGAAATGAATAGTAACACGCAAAGACAATGAACACGCAAAAAAATATCGGTTTTCTTCACCATTCTTCATAATACTCTCCATTCTATGGCAAAAATACTTACTATTCAGGATTCATGTTTGTACTATAAATGTATTTTATCCAAAACTATAATATTATAGAATATGTCGAAAATATTGAGGTTCTTTGTTTCTAGCACAAAACAGCGAAAAAATTAATAATCGTACGTAGAGTAATGGCCGCCGTCCGAAACACCCACTGACGTAAGTCAGAAATTTAAACAGGAGTGCCACTTGGCAGAAACTAAATCACGTTCGAAAACGTAATAACCGAATGAAATCGACTAAATGTTAAGTCTTAAAACAGTCACAAACTTTTGTCTTTGAAAAGTTCAGTTCTTCAGTTATAAAGTCAGCTATAAAGCGTGTAAACTTTAACAACCAGAAATCTTGTGTGTTCTTCAGCTTAGTAAAGGACTTTTAATACTTTTATTTCTGTTGGATTTTTTCGTTCTATATAAAATTCTTTTACTGTATTTCTGTTGATTTTCATCTCACTTTATAACCCTCCTAATTTTAGCAAATAAAAAAATATACTATCACTCGCTGTACTTTTGCCGATAATTCGCCGTTCAGTGGTACCGTTGTAAAGAAATAAAAATTACATATATTAATTATTTTCAACGAATACTTGATACTTTTAAACTTTTTTTAAAACTTTCAAAATTACTCTCTCCCACTTACCGACCAATTCTTCGAAGTACTTTAAAAGCGAGTTTTATCATTCAGTTACATTTTCTTTTTCGCGTATTTCACGACAATTGTTAAAAACAATAGATAAGTATATCAAACACACAAACGCAAACACTCAGCTCCTGTTAATATAGGTGAACCAGATTTTACAACCAGGACTGAATTAATGAATAGATGTTTCGACCAATAAAATCAACTAGCTCTTTTTTGCAGCTTCTTTTACGTATAGCTACTTATCATTGTTTTTACCGTTACCTTTCTCTATCTACCATAGTCGTTAGTCATGTACCAAGGTTCAGTATTATATATTTCACTTTACAAGTTCAGTCCCTAGTACAATTATATTTTAAGGTAGGTAGGTATGAAAACTGTCTTGTACGTTAGTGTAATGTGTTAACGAAAATGTTACGATAAACGGGTGGAAAACATTTAATATGATAACTTTCACCTCACCAGCACTTCAGTCTGAAGAAGTCTTTACACTAGATACCAACACAATGTCGATACTAATTATTAGAATAAGACTAAATAATTCCCGCTTACAGAAACCGGTGCCATGCTACATTTGTCCAGTGCTGATCGAAGGCTTACCCCAAAGAGCGCCAACCATCCCGGTCTCGAGCAGTTCGTATCCATCCGCTACCAGCAATTTCCTCAAGTCGTCGGGCGATAGTTCCGCATGGCGCCCTACAGTACGTTTGCCTAATCGTGCTCTCCACTCTAGCACATGTCGGCTCTAGGGACCATCAGTCCGCCCAGAGACATGACCGGCCACGAAAGTAGCCTCTATAAAATGATACTAATATAAATTTAAAAGGGGAAAATTTGGTTGGAGAGCTTGTATTTTGCGACAATAGATAAATTGGGTTACGGCATACGACCATAACCCGTTGCAGCTTTTGCTGACGTTCCCCAATGCCATCAAAACTTAAGCAAAAAAAATTTTTTTATTGAATTTTCTTTATACTTTACTACGTCATTTTTTACACTTAGACCTTTCGCAGGTTCGGCGCTAGCGTAATCATAAGTCGCAGTGTTTTCGTAATTAGTTACAGGTGTAATTATATGTTTTATCACAGGCAATTTAGTCCATCCCTACAATACAGGCGCATTGCATATTTACAGTATGTATGAGCAGGAGAAAGTTTAAACTGCTATTATATTCTCTCATCATCATCAACAGCCGTTAGTAAAGCACTGCTGGACATAGAACCTTAGAAAGGTTTTTGCCTACTATACCACACTGGCCAAAAGGGTTGGTATAGGGTTTGTTTCAAATTTGCCTTCTTTTTGCAGTCTTGTTGTCCTGCGTAGTAGATCCCTTAGTTGGCTCTTGTGACACCCACGGGACGAATAGGGGAAGGGTTAGTGACAATTGGTATTCTTAATCCGTCACCACACAAACAAAAATCTTTAACATGATAAAAAAACATATAATTTATTATAATCTATAGATGAATGCATGGCGGAGTCTTCCTTTTTGGCTTAAATTGCGGTAGTTTTTAATTTATTGAACTAAATGAGGGTCTCGCTGAGGGTTCTGTAATACATTTCTACCCACCTGGTTTCAAAGCTACTGGTACCCGAGACGGCGTGCCGGTTTTGAGGCGTTTCAAGTCCGACATAACCACCCCACCCGTGGTATCCGAGGGTATTTTCACACAGAAAGAGGGGTTAATTAATACAAAGACATACACCGTAATTAAATCTTTTAATATAATATATACAGTTGCATATACCATAATGGGTTAAACACGGACTATATTCAACTAAAGGTAAGGTAAATGAAGATTTAATCTACTACACCTATGTATTTATAAAATCATTTCTTGTAGTATACTTAAAGGTATTTTCCAAATGTACAGACTTCTATCCTTGTATCCGGCAATAATCTGAAAATGAATTAATATATTAAAAATATTTGGTCTACTGGTTAGTGATTTTTATTGCTGTGCTAGAGTTAGGATGGGGTACACAAACAATTGTATGCTGAGCATGATCATAAGTTCTGTTTCTGGTTTAATCTTATTCATAACATAACATAACCCGCGACTGGATTCGCATGGAATTTGAAAAGCGCTCCCTTAAAATTTTATAGGGTTTTCTGAGGGAAAAACAGGCTCAGTTACTCCTTATATAGACAGCTACCTGGTATTAAAATATTATCAAAATCGGTGACAGCTTCACCGATTTGATAATATTTTTTAAAGATAACCCGGAACAAACAGACAGAGCAAAAATATTTAAACTCGTTTTTAGGCATAGTTATCGTGCAAATAACCGTGTGAGCATGAAAAAAAAACTATTATTTTGACATTACAGACACTTCAATTTTATTTATTTGTTTAGAATAGATGTATATTTTTAGCTACATATAAGTATTTTTATCAATCTGATTATCATAGCAGAGGCTCTCTGCCTAGTTTTCGGAAGAAACGTCTTTAAGGTGGCTTAAACAACATCTGTTACATTTATTATCCCATACTTAGGACATAATCTATCATAATATTCCGAATATAACAAATGAGAATATAATATACTTTTGAAGAAAAGTAAATCAAAGGTTACAAGATGTGCAGGCCCCTTTAAAATCACCTTTATTTACGACCTTTAAGGGCACAGCAGCAAAACGCGGGTAAGGACTATTGTTTTTTCTATAAAATAAATATAAAACATTCGTATCTCACCTTACTCCCGACGACCGCGAGGGACAGCAGCATTAAGCTGGGTCCTCTTAGTTGTGCCAACGGGCGCGTCTCGCCCTCGCGGTACACGTACACGCAGCCGTCGTAGCAGCCCGCGAACAGTAACCCACCCGTCGCGCGCAGGCACACCGCGCCCTTCCCGCCCTCGTGGCAGCCCGTGTGGGTGCCGCTCTGCCGAACAATGCACAGGATGGTCATTGTATTGTAAAACAACTTTAAATGAAACCAACTGTAAGTGCTTTTGAATTGTCAATCCAAGTAAGACAGTCATGAAGCTAGATGCCTGTTCTGATTCTAAGGTTAAGAAACTTCAGAGATACTATTTTTCAGCGTGGAGTTCTTTTGGTTCCTATACTTATCGCGCAAATTAAACGTGAAAGATCTATAGTTATAGTAAACAGTAGCACAAATTACTACTATTTTAAGTTGTAACAGTCTAGAGATGTTCATACTAGACCAATGACACTCAGCTACGAGCATAACGCATGTAGCAAGTCCCGTCCAGCTCGATCCTATTGAAGGGAAAACTTACTTCTGGTGAACATCTGGAGTATAATTAGGACATAGATGAACGTGGTCTAATAATATTTATAATTCTAGCAAATACATGGCCTATTTTGATCGGGACATCTTATAATACCTCCGTACGTACGGCAATGGAAATGCTCATTTTTCATATTCGGAGGAATATGGCGATAGATCAAATACACCAGCAATATCACTCAAATTTATAGGCATCTATTTAGTTTCGTCCTATCAACTGTGAAATACATATATCTATACGCGATAGCGTCAAATTTCAAACGAACTGATTCTAGGGTGAATAATAATACCTTTATTTTGTTCTCTCACACAGACTGAGACATAGGCAGTAGCTTAAACTAGCAGTAGTAATTAGTATTATTACATTATATCTATGTAAGAAACTGGTGTCTGGTCTGTACTAGGAGACCTGTATGACAGATTACCAGTCTCTCCAGACTGGACAGTTGGATTTAGGTAAGTAACATTTTATTACTATGAATTAGGTGTGTGTAAAACCATTGGGTTGAGAGGATGTGCATTATTGTATGTGTGTGTGTGTATGTGTGTACATGTATGTGAATAGCACTGTTGATTCTAGGGTGAGGGACTCTAAAGGCGGCAACACGCTTGTGACTCCTGAGTTGTAGGTGTTCAAGGGCGGCGGTAGTCACTTACCATCAGGTTACCCGTCTGCTCGTTTGCCCCCTTATATCGTAAAGAAAGCCGCCTAATTTGGAAATTTCCTTTGGGAATTTGGAAACAGACAACTCCCGCGCTAGGAATAAATCCTATGTCGCGGGGGACTTTAAAAACATACATGAAATGGACACAAAGGACACCCAGACTCAGAACAAAAATTTATGGATCACACAAAGTGTTGTCCCATGTTGGGATCGAACCCACAACACTCAGCGCAGTAGGAAGCGGCGAGGTGACCGCTTAAACCACAACGCTATCCGTGCAGTCAATACTTTTATTTCCTCTTACCTCTTCCTTAACTACATTTGTTAGTATTGCGTTGTAGATATATTCCGTTTCATCTTTGACAAATTAGTGTGGACATTGTGTTAATATAAAAAAAAACATCAATTTATACTTACGGAATAATCAAATACATGGATTTGATGACTACTGGTTCCACAATACACTTTTCCATCTTCAAAAAGCAATGTGTAGACTGTCATTTTGGGTCCCGCTAGTGTGCGCAGCAGTAGTCCAGTCTGCGCGTCCTTGATGGTGACGTTCTCCGAACGAGAGGCGACTAGAAGAACTTTGCGAGGACCCTCCTTCATGGCCCGAAGTGCCAAGATAGCTTGTTCAGAGAATTTCACTGTGCTTACTGGTATAAGCATGTTGTTCTGAAAAAAGTTAAGTATTCATTGTGTTATACTAAATGTATGGCAAAATTAATAAACAGTATTTTTACTTTCTTAGTTTTCAACTCTAAGGTTTGTTCTCTGTTTAGACAATAACAAGGTAATTATTTTTTCGAATTTATTGCTGTAGTGAAATGTAATAAAAATAACGATAGATAACCATAAATTTGTTAAAATATAAATAGAAACTAATATATGTTGTAGCAATTTTGTATAATAATAATATGTAATTGTAGTAGTATATAAAAATGCTGTTCCGTATTTAAATTCTGTTTGACCTTGATTGTACTCACCTTACTAACACGAGCTTATGAAATAGGAGATGTTAATGTAAAACATTAAACTAACGATAATTTGACTCTTAAATATTTCGACATAGAATTGAAAATTGATACACGACTGATTGATAGTTTAATTTTAAAGGAGGTATGCCTGTAATCAATCGCTAGTACTGTGTACCGATCGAGACTAATTGAGAGCCTTCAACGTTCACCGTAAGCCATAATGTTTTACTAGCATTTGCCCGCGGCTTTGCTCGCTCAATAGTAACTTTTCTCTACTTCAGTACTTTTTTTGTATATCCTTCTCTAGTCGTGATGTGTTTATAAAATTTTATGAAAATAAATTGAATAATTAAGCCATGAAAAAGTTTGATCATTTACAATATTAATTAGACATACACCTAAGTTCTCAAACTAAAAGCTTGTGCCAGAAACATATGCAAAATTAGTAGTATCACTTGGGCATTATCAACAAGGTGGTGTACCGAGTTTGGTCTCTCAGAAGGATTATTTTTTCCAATTTTTACAACATTTTTCATCAATGCTCCTATTAGAGGTGGCGTGATATTATATATCCTATAGCCTTCCTCAATAAATGAGCTAGCCAACACTAAAAAAGATTTTCAATTCAAACCAGTAGTTCTTAAGATTAGTGCGTTCAACCTAACAAACAAACTTTTCAGCTTTATAATTTTAGTATAGATTAAAAGATACATACCTTGCACTCAAACTGAAGCACAAACCCAGTCCTCGTTCCGACGAATACAGTATCCCACGCTCGATCCATGGTTTGTATGGGACTAAGAACATTACACTCTGGTCCCTTCTCCAAACCCGTCTGAAAAATAATATTCCATAACGATTTATGTTTACAAGCTTTTCTTACTAATATTGGACAAGTCTTGTAAGTGACGCAAGTGGAGTGAGGCCGCTAGCCGAGCCACGATGGCTCGTTGGTTGTTCTGGAGGCTCCACATGTTGGCTTTGAAGTGAAGTGAGTGCTTTTTGATGGATATATATATAATAATAATAATAATATAGTTTAGCATGATAAAAAGTACTTACATTCAAATCATAATATCTTATTCGAGAGTCCAGAGAACCTGTGTACACAGTTGTGCCATACTTCTCCTTCACTATGGTTAGACAGGTGACTGCCAGGTTTGACCCTCGCATTGTATTCAGTAGCAGCCCATCACCGCTAAAGTGGTAGACGTTCCCATCCAAACAGGCTGCTATAAAGTCGCTTTCGATGCACTGGAATATATAATTTTTAATAATTATAGGTACTATTGCTATCCACTTGTGTGTACCTTGTCTGTGTGGTGACGGATTAAGAATACAGAGTGTCAATACCCATATTCATCCCGTGGGTGTCGTAAGAGCCGACTAAGGGAGCAAGTTACGCAGGACAACAGCACTGCAAAAGAAGGAAAACTTGAAACAAACCCTATACCAACCCGTCTGACCAGCGTGGTATAGTAGGCTAAACCCTCCCTTTTAAGGAGAGCCCTATGTCCAGCAGTGTACTATTAAATGCTGTTGATGATTGCCATTGATTACACATAACTAATTTTTTTATGGTAAGTGACTAACGCCGCCCATGAACACCTACATCTCAAGAGTCACAAGTCTGTTACCATCCTTTGAGTGTACCTTTGCTAGCTTGGTAAAAAGCATTGAAATAATTATTTAACACCAGTTTTCAGTGAGGCTGTGTTATAACTCCGGTTATACCGGACCGTATGTTAAGAAACGGGGTTCTCCCATGGCATTGTAGTCATTGTGTAACTGTATCGTCTACAGCAAACAGGTTTATGAACAGTCTAGTTACCATAGTACAGACTCTGCATAACGTAAAGTTAGAGTACTGTGTGTGTGTACCGATAGCTATTATTATACAAAATAGGTATGTTATAGATAACTTACAAAGGAATTAGATAGTAACTAGATATTTTCAGAGTACTTGTATTATTGACTACTTACCTCTATTGCAAGTACAGCATCAACATTTCCGGTAACTGTTAGAGAGTCACGTCGTAGCTCCTCATCAGTAGAGTAGTCATATGTTTTACATTCATTTTCTGCTTGACATGAATCTCCCACTAACGCGTCATCAGCTGATGACTGGCTGTTGTCAAGTATAAGATCCTCGCTTATAGCAACTGTTGGTTCAATTGAATCTTTGTCTTTTATCTCACAGCTTTCTCCAATAACTATATCTTCTGACACATCTAGCATGTCAAATTGCAAATCATTAACAACTGTCTCTTCAATGATTTCTCTGGGAACAGAACTTTTTTGAGTTTCTGGAGGCTCTTTGTTGAATAATAAAGACTCTTCAGAAGATTCCGAAGTAACAATATTATCTATCACTACAGGTAGTTCTTCATCCTGAGCCATAGTAGATGTTTCATTTAAATACTTGCTAATGTCTGTCTGAATAAGTATAACTGAGCATTCCTTTAAGACATAAGGACTATTATCAATTTGTTTTTTAGATTTTGATTTCTTTGTAGTGGTTTTCTTTGGTTTAGATTTGAGAGCTTTTTTTCGTGTCTGACGGGGTTCTTCTAGATCATCAAGAGATATAATGTCTTCTAGAGGTCTATCATCAGTTATTATCTGCTCTAATAAAGATATGTTTGGTGTCTTTGCTTTTTTACTGCTCCTTCTACTAGATGTAGACTTTGGACTTTCAGAAGTCATTCTTTCCTCTAGTAATGCTTTATGACGTGCATTCCGCTTTTCCACTTTAGCATCATCGAAGTTTATATCTTCAGTTACAGTTTCTAAAGCTATTTGCTCCAATTCTTCAACTGGTATGTTAGTAAAGTCATCTACAATTGCATCTGCAGTCATAGTTGATTCTACACTGCTTTCATTTTCCATTTTAATATCTGTTTTTACTTTGAGTTCTGAATTGGTTTTATCTACTGGAGAAGTATCAATATGGTCCTTAAGCTCTATGTGCTGCTCTTGGTGATCCATAGCTGCAACATTTAATACAGTCACACTAAGGTAAGACTGTTCTTCGTGTGGACCCATATTATTAGATTCTAAATTACTGTACAATTGAAACTTTTCTCGTAGCAATTCTTGTATTTCTAAATCTATTTGTTTCATTCTCTCAAATGCATCTTTTGTTTCAGTTTCTGCTTTAGTGGTAAACACACGAGTGGTTTGAATACCCACTGAAAGAACTTCAGGATTTTCTGTTTGGCAATGTTGACTGTGTAAGGTATTAGTGTCAACTGTCTGTGTCGCCTTAGTTATCACTCTTTTAAAAACTTGGGTTGAAACATGCTTGGTTTGCACTATCTTCTGTGGAGAAGGTATCACTTGTTTAGCTTTGTCTTCAACAGCAGGAGTTATAGGAGCAGCTACAACTACAGGTGTTGTAGGAGTTGCAGGGGTCGTAGCAGTGTTTCTATGTGCATGGTGTAGAGACACTTTTTTTGTTTGCTCTACAAACATGTCTATGGGCTTAAGTTTAGTTTTAGAAACACTTTTCGCTGGTGTTATACTAGTATTATTGCAATCTTTAGGACTTAAAATAGTTTGACTGGATGAACTAGAAGTGCGATTTTTACGTGGCTCTCGATTTTTTGATTTTTGAGATTGTTTCCTTTTAACATATTTTTCTGAATATCCCTTTTGTGAGTTGTTGTTCCGTTTGTTGTCCTTTGAACATTGTTTACTATAGTCATCTTTAGATCTAAATATACTGTAATAGGACGACTTTGGGAGATCATTGTATGTTGCTGTACATTTAGAATGTCTATCTTTTGAATTGCTATTGTCATGCCTATCTGAAAAACTCGATTCACTTTTTTTGCGTTTTTCTTTTCGATGCGATGGTCTTTGGTCTATGGACCTTTTACGACTATTTGATGCTGATGTTTTGCTTATACTTGAACTTTTTGATTTTTCCGATTCCCTACTTGTATCATTACATCTCGCAGCATGGACTTGTTTCATGTTAACATGATCTATTCTACATGAAATGGTGTCACTATTTATAGGTGTACTGTTCTCTTTAGGAAAGTCTGGAGATTGTAAGGGTTCCTCTTTAATATTTAGTACATTGATTTCTCTGTTATTTTTGACATTATTACCAACTGACTCTAATAGGCTTTTAGATGACTGTAATTGATTATTAACTTCTTTTTTGACACTTGCTGGATTTACTTCTACTTGGAGCATATAGTTTGGTGTTGTTCTTGCTGACACATCTTCCAGAAAATTGGGATCAACAGCAACGTGGTACTGCCTGTCTAATTCAGCAAATGTATCCTCTTCCTCAGAGAAAACTTCAGTATTTGAGTTAAAAAGTGGAGGAACTGGTTCTTCAGGGGAGAATGTTTCATCAATTGCATTATCTATGCTTTTCCTTTGTCTATGGCTCTCCACACTTAATCGGCGGTTTTCATGATTGGGATCATTATGTCTTGATGTACGTCTTTCAAAAATAGGTTTACTGTTATGGTAATCATCTTCATTCGTTTGATTTTCATATTTAAAATTAGAACCATTCTCATCACACACCTCAGCTTGGGTGACATCACCATAATTAGATGAATCTCTCAGATCAATATCATAATTTACCTCTTGAGGAAACTCATCATAATTAAAATTCTCATAATTAGGATAGTTCTGAGGAACTTCTCCTATTGCATGAGACCTTTGATCGTCAGCGTCATATCTGGTATAGGGCTCAAAATCATCTAGCTGAAGTACCTTACTGAGTTCAGCCATTACGAGAGGTTTAATATCTTCTAGTAAAATCGTATCCTGAGGATCTAACAGACACTGCATCTGTTTCATAAAAGTGTCTTCATAAATGGTGTTATTATCATTATGGATAAAATCATCACTGCAGGTACTGACTAGAGACTTCTCAGCAACAGACCTCAAGTGGCGGTTAAGACTATTTTGGGATTCAGTTATTAAACTGCTGATAGCATATTCAAACTTTGATGATGATCCTGGATCATCCATTAACTTGTGCATCTTATCTTTGTCCATTTTAAATAGTTCATTAACTATATTAGATTTCATTTTATCACAATTCGATTTAACATTTTGTCGCTGTCTTGGTGTTCTCTTTTTTGTTGGTGGATCCTGCAAGGTATGTTGATCCGTATTCCTTCCTTGTTCTTGTTCACTATTATTTTGAATGTTTGAGGCATCCTGCATTGTCGGTTGTGGATCACTACGATTCATCAGCCTTTTCCGCACTATATCTACTGTATCATTAACTGATCGACTGAATGAGGTATCATTGTTGTTAATAGTTGTGCTAGATGTACTACCATAGTAATCTGAAGAAGGTGGTCTGTGACCTGTATAATCAAACGAAGGTATTTTATTGCCTTCTGCATGATGCCGCTCTGTGTCATGAGGTCTATATGGTTGATTTCTGTCTTCATAGAAATGTCTTTGGTTTGGAGGTGGATCAATCCAAGGATTTAACATGGGAGGATTAAAAGAATCTTGATTGTGAGTTGTGGTACTGAGCTGCCTATGATCAACATCGCCATGACTGTTTACATGAAGCAATTCACCCTGCGCATCCTTATAGAAGTTTGATGAATGTTTATAGGAATGGTTTTGGATAGTATCATCCTTTTTATAGTTCACATTTGTGTATGAATAAACATTTCTTGGTCTTTGTTGATGTCTGTCTTGTAGCCTAGGGTTGTTATGATGACTTGGGGGTCTATAATTCTGTCTATCATGATTATCGGATATTCCATGTTCGTTTAAATGAGCGTTGTAAGTATGCGGACCTCTGGGTAGTCGTGGACCGGGTGGCGGGAATCTGAAATAAATTTTTCGCTAATTATTACCATCTAGTAGAATAACAGTTCTCGACATATTTTTACAAAGTTGGCTCCTTTGTACGAACATGACTTTTTTTATTGTTCGCCTTAAATTGACATTTTTTTTTGTAAATATTAAAGTATACATGTTATTGGCGCGTCAGTTAAGAAGTAATAACAGTTGTTTAATCCTATCTAAACTCTTACCTTGGGATCTCCAATAGTGAATACGCTCTAGGCGGTCTAAAACGGGGTGCACCACCAGCTCTAGGCCTAAAATGCCTATGATTTTCATTTCGCCATCCTCCGACGCCTGGATGACCTCGCCTCATTATTTTACAATTATGGCATATCTAGTCTCAACACATTAACAACACTATATTGTAGCTTTTCCCAGTACGCCACACGTATCAATATACGAAAACAAACGATTTTTACCAGAAAAAGGTATTTGATCAATCGTCGCGCGGAATAGAAATACTAACACGAAATTCATTTGACATTCAAACAAAAATATTGTCAGCAGTAAAATCAAGCATTTTCAAATGGCCGTTCAGAAATTACAAAACACGTTCACCGTGAAAAAATACGAACCTTAACTATTTGTTATTTTTAGAATTTCTAATATTTTTAAACGAACAATGAGTCACACCAATATTTTTGTTATCAGCATATTTATAAAAAATAGGTAACTCGAAAAAAAAAACTGTTTTTATTTTTTACAATCTTCAAAAATGACGGAGATATTAAACGTATTTTAAACGTACGGCCTCTGCGGCAAAATCCGACTAAGTGACCGCGCTAAAGGAGTAAGTCACGCTGCGAGCTGCGAGTCGGTGCTTGCATAAGTTACATACATACCTACTTTGGCTCCGTTCGCTCTCGTGGTATCGCTATAAATTTATTGAAATAATAAGTGTCAATATTAATTAAAATAGTTTCTCCTGAACTATATGAAAATAATATTCGGAAAAAGTGGGTAAAATTTATGAGAAGAGCAGATCCTCTCACAGCCGTCTTCAGTGTGAGAGGATCTGCTCTTCTCATTCGCCGGGTACGGGTGTGCAGAGCGTGCACCGCACACGGTCGGCAGTTTCAAGGGGGTGGCACGGTAAGATGCGTTATGGAGGATTGGCTCGATAGGAAACACGGGACCCTCTGATACTCGTTAATACAAAGGATGCTTTGGAGGTTACCTGTGTCTGATTCACAAAGAGCCAACGCCCGGGTGCTGCCGCTAAGATGGGCATAACGCTTTAAACGCTGCCAAAATGCCCGGCGCGTATGGTGCAAAGCAGAGGCAAAGTCACGAGGACTGATTGCATGGTACAGAGCGACTAATTCCTCCTGCTGAGTGAAGTGGGACCGGGAGGGGCTTAGAACCCTCTCCCGACTCACCAGGCCCGGGAACGGACCAGGTACTGCCAACGGCTTAAGCGCTGGTGGTCGCTGAATGATCTCCGTCGTTCATAAGCGCCTGGCCTGGGTGTAACAGGTGGCGACACAACGCTCTCCGGAGCGCCTTTATGGACAGGGAGGGGAAACCGTGGTTACTACACATTGTGGAGGAACGGGTGTCATGTCCCTCCAACACAAAGGGAGGATCCTTCGACCAGGCGAGGTGATCATGTCTGGCGGGCAGCGGCCCCAACGGTTGATGTTGGGAAGTTGTATATATGTTAATCGGCGAAGGAATTCTATACAGGATAATCGCGATACAGGATTAGCAATTCATATTTCAGTAGTTACTCCGTAGTTCGGTGTGTCTTCATTAGATGGCTCTGTAGTATGTTTCTGTTTCTTTGTATGTGGGAGTCGCCACAACATCAGGAGACGGAGACATGATGGTAGCTGGAGCCGCCAAGTGCTAGAGTGGAGACCGCGATTAGGCTAACTTAGTGTAGGGCGGACTGCAGCACGATGGACCGACGATTTGAGGATAACGGCTCGCAGTGGATGGAGGCGATTGCCGTAGACCGGGACGGTTGGCACTTCAAGGAGGAGAATACATTTTTTTTTATTATTTTACAACTTTTTAACTCGGTGCCTCGAGCACGAAAGAAATTCGAATGCGTATCGTAAACGTATCGAGTCCTCGATACGTTAACGGAGTTTTACGATAGGCGGTAGCACGAAGCACTAACGTTAAGGTATCGAAAGCTCCATACGATTACGTTAGTGACGTCATCCTAACGTAAATAAGGATGAGCACTTAAGAACGAATTCAACATCTTATTGAATGAACTATGCGTTCGAAAACATAATGAAATAGTGAACTTTTTTGTTACTTTCGGTTAAACTACCCATTTATTGACAATTGAAACAAAATATACTTATATAAACACAATAAATCTTAAATGAGGTATGGGAGATTTTAAAATGTAGTATATTTGAAGAATTAAAATAATTATAATGACATTTTTTTTGGTTTCTGAATAACACGTCTCCACTTGACAATTTATTGACATAGCTACGACACTATGTCAATTAATTGTTTATTATTTTTATTGTAAACCTTGAAACTTTAAGAAGCATTTTATAGGAAATATTAATTGTATTATTACGTCGTGTTGGCTGTCGATTGTGGCAAAAATCCAAGCTTCCAATAATAGCTAAGTCGTATACCACTAGACCGTTGTGTTATGTGAAAAGAAACTGAAAAAGATTTCTTTAAAATAAACCACAGTAAGTCGTGCCACAATAAATCGAACTGTTGCAGCGCAGACGTAGACGTGTTTTATCATCTTCTGCGCCCAAAATGCCCAACATCACAAAAAGTCATAGTGAGAACAAGCCATTTACAAAACGTGGCTATGGTGGAATTTCTGGAAAGGTGAGTGTACATTAAATTTACTATTTGCAATACTGAATGTACTGTAATGTAAAATAACGATGTGATGTTTGAGAATATAATAAATTTCATATATTATTATATAATTGACTTTCTCATTGTTATTAGACTTCCACTGCTACTTGACATTAAAATAAATTCAATTGTAAATATAGATAACATCTGTCACTTTATAAATGTTACTTGAACACCACCACAGCAATCCTACAGATAAACATACCAGGGACAACTAATGTCTCATATCAGTCAATCTTGGTATCATATTACAAGTTCAGCTTAGTTTGAAACTAGATGGTGCTGTGTGTTAGATGTCTGAAAATATTATTATCGTTATTATATAAGTAATAAATGTTGTAATATTTTGTTGTAGATTTGAATACTGCGGGCTCAAGCAGCCAACCGCCTGTGGCTCCTCTTTTACCAGCACCTGAGGTTCATTCTCAGTCTTTTCCAGTCACCGCAGTAGCAGAGGAGTGGAAGCCTCCTGAAGAAAAAAACTCAAAACAAGCAATGATATTTTAAAAATGTTAAAAGAATCGTAATCGTGTGAAATAAAATTAAAATCATTAACTAGACATATAATTTTTTCAAAGTAAATAATGTTCTCTGTATATAACATGTATGTATGTATGTAATGTATAAAAACCAACTCTGTATAATTCATTTTAAAATTATGGTAAATAAAAAATATTAATACTAACTCATTTTTCACTATATGCCATTCATCCCTGTCTGCTGTGTAACCCCCTCTATCTAACCATATTTGGTACAAGCCTAGCAATTCCGCTTTGGATATTCCTTCAAGGCACGAGGTTACTGAAACTTTAAACAGGTTATGGAGGGATTTAGCTGGTATACCCATCGCACCCACTTCCACAGCATACGACGCAACGAAATAACCATTTTTAGTTATTTCGTTGGTTAACTATTTCTTAGCTTCAAGCGATATATTTTAAAATTCGTTATTTATATTTAAAGGACTAGCTGGTGCCCGAAACTTCGTTTGCGTAGAATTTGAAAAGCGCTGCCTGAGTTGGGTTCGATTCCCGGACCGGGAATTTTTTTTTGCCTAAGTTACTCCTTATAGACAGCTACCTGGTAGTAAAATATTATCAAAATCGGTCCAGCTGTTTTGAAGATTACTCGAAACAAACAGACACAAAAAATATTTAAACTAGTTTTTAGGCATCTTGCGAAAAACCGTGTGAGCATGAAAAAAACCTATTATTTTATATTACAAACAGACAGTTCAATTTTGCTTCACTTTTATCTTCCTTCGTTTATCTCTGCGCCTTATTTCACTAAAAGAATAATTAATTAGATTAATATATATATATATATTTTCAATTAAACTTGCGACAAGAACGTACATAGGACTAAAGCGGCGATCTTTGCATTTTATCTCTACAAAAAACTAACCGTTAATACTTGAAAATAATAGTTTTGAAACTTTTCTCACGGCCAAATCTTAGGTGAATAAACATTCGACTAATCTCGACAGGTGCTTGATAGAAAGCCTTCGAACGTACGTCAAAATTTCATTCGTGCTGCCAATTTTCTTTACAAAGTGTAACGTATCGAATGCTTGACGATATGTTTACGATACGATAGTAAATTCGAAACGGTCGTGCTGCCAAAATTAGTTACTTTTACGCACGATAAGGGCGCTGCACAAATGTCACACAAATTTTTTCGCAAGTTGTTCGTGCTCGGGGCACGGTACTACATTTTTTTTACAACTTCGATTGACCTTGGTTGATAAGTCAACATCCATAGCTCTATAGTAAGTTATGTCTAGGTTATATGAAAAAAAAAACAAACGTCAGGTGTACAATACTTTAATGATAATGAAAATAATTTCTATCTAAGAATATTATCTTCTTAATTCGTTAATGAGATCAATCGAACCTAATGCAATTGGCTCATCAAATTCGTATTTCAAATTTAAAATTCTCTAAAGCTATGAACACATGTGAAATCCTTATTAAAGTACAATAGGGTAGACTCCTATTAAGTTTAAGATAAATTATTTCAGATGAATCATTATAAGTAACTTAACTTAAAGTACAGCATTTTTGATTTAATGTTAATTTTTTGTAGTATCTTCAAATGAAAATTAAAAGTTAATAATTTGACAATAGCTAGGTATGACTTCACGCCTTAACATTTCATACAAAAATGTATTGTGTCTATCATTTTGACGTTTAATAAAAATCATCCACCATCACTAAAGTCAACTACCCCGTTATAAAGTTTATCTACGTAGGTTTTGAGATTCTAAACAGTCATCTTAACCAGTACCTTCTCTATATAACGTTTAATTTTAACGTAGTACCAAATTATATCCACGTCCAGCTCGCAATAAAATCAAATGCCGGCTAAAATGGACGTGGGGTCTTCAACGCCAGATTTAATTTTGCGCAGGAATAGCACAGCTTCGCGACCGTCTATGAGTCTATGGTCGTAGGATAACGCGAGGTACATCATGGGTCTTATTTCAACCTGAAAAAAGAATAAGTTATAACAAATATATTTACTTGATAAAAGTTATTTTTTTTATAACATATAAAAATATAACTTAATTAAAAATATAAACTGATGAAACTATTGACAAGAAAAGCCAACATAAGTGGTGTGAAAGTTTCTGGTCCTATTAGGTCTTAAGACAAGCCGTAAACCACCTTAGCCCACATTGGATTTTACGAATAGGGACAAAATGCATCAAGGACTAAAGTTACGAATAAATAATCCTATTTTTAAACTAAGATATTTTTGCTTTGGCAATTTTTGTAATGACTTGCGACCGGAATTTACGCAACTTGGATTTAAGGTGACCAAAATGAAATAAATCTCGCTAAAAGGTTTCTAAAGTCTGATCTCGTCTTGCTATTTAGAGTCCTAAAATTTGGCAACAAGAATAAACTTTAGGGGTGAGATAGGATTTGTGTTTTTCCAGTTATAATTTAATGGCGTTTGAAGGTCCTAGATATAATAGCTATTAAATACAAGTTTAGTATTTTGTGAAATGTTAATCACGTACCTTCTTATTGATAGCAACAGGTCTCTGGAATATCGCATGCATGCCCAAAATGGACGACTGTGGTAAGTTGATGATGGGCATAGACAACAATGATCCAAACACTCCGCCGTTGCTTATAGTGAATGTTCCACCAGTCATATCCGCTTGTGTAAGCCTACCTGTAATTTTAAAGGGCGGACTTTATTACCAAAAAATGATTTGACAATAGCCTGGTATGATGTCTGGTACGTTAATAAATAAATATTTTATTACCGTCAAACTGATTGGATTTGACTAAAAGTGGTATTAATTAATTTACACAAAAATATTGCAATAATTTCACCCTAAAGTACCTAAGTACTTTGTTTTATATAAAAACTTAAATATCTCAATAGTTGGCGTGTGAAATCTACTTTGCTTAAGGATACCACTTAAACGGTAGGTGTTTATTTTAATTTATGATATCTGTAAGTCTATGATTCTGTAAGTATGAATTGCTATAAAAAGTTTAAATAATTTTTTTTACGATTAAAACAACAAAAGCAAACGAAAAAATTAAATTATCTATAAAATAAAAAATGCTTTTAAAAGAAAACTTTTAAAGAATTCAGTGAGTTTCTTATATGGGGAGATGGCATGACTTCGAGATTTTTTCAAAAATAGCACCACATATGTATATGGGTCAGATGCTTATGTTCATTCAGAAAAAAATCACATTACCGGTAATAAATGCAGATAACGATATGGAAGTAGGTGTGTCTATTAGCTATCCATATACAACTCAACTGTAGCTATACATTCTCAACGTCAATCACGATCTAGGATCAGATTTAGGCCCGTATTTTAAAAGGTGACCGTTGTTTTTAAACTACGATCTTCAGGGAGGTGGCTACAACTTACCTTCTCGCGCTTTTGCCGCCATTTGCCCCATTGCAAGTTCGATTTGCGGGTAGTCCATTGAGTCCACATTGCGTATTATGGGTACAACTAAACCTCGGGGCGTGGCCACCGCCACTGATATGTCCACATAGTCCCTGAGAATTTTGTAACTTATTAAACTAAAACATCCTTACGTCTGAATAAAGTTAATTGCTTAATGTGCTTCGACACCAGCATGCTACTTATTTTGTTTTCGAAATAGTGAACGTAAAAATCAATAAATTCTGCGAAACCTTAATCCTGCTGCCCTTAATCCATTTTTGTTTGGTGTAACATTGCAAATGTTTTTATTACTGACTTCTTTTACGCCAAGTCTCTTGTGTTACCGCTTTTATTATGAACAAAGGAGAAGGTAAAATGTGGCAAGAAAGACGGACAGAGTTAGAGAGCTTAGCTAAGGGATTTGCAATTCTGTACCTGTAAACTATATCACTGCCGATGATGACAGCATTGACAACTGGCTGGTTCATGAGTGCATTGGCCGCCGCCTTCAGAAATGGTGACATGAACGATAGTTTTACTCCGTACTTTTTAGTGAATGTTTCTAAATTCGCTTTACGAAACGCCATCAGGTTACTGAACAACAGAGATATCTTTAGTAAATGCTAGTATACGCCCCTATTCAAAAGGTCCCAGTAATTAAACTTAACACAAGAAATTATTTCAGCACTAATTCGATCAAAACATAGTGATAGTTTAATAATGGTTGTTGATAATCAAGCACTAAGTAGTCAGTCTATGGCGTGTGGTGTTCCACAGGGGTCTGTTCTTCGACCACTCCTGTGGAACATGGGGTGCGACTGGGCTTTTCGAGGTCACTACCCCCCAGGGTGAGGGTAATCCTGTTCGTCAATGACACGTTAGTTACAACCCGGGAGATGAACGTAGGTATTAAGTATTAATGAAATGACCTCAGGCCCCACGGTACAGGACAACTGCACTATGTTTATTTACATTTTGTGTTTTAACCATGTCCATTAGAATGGGCATATGCCCATGACACGGTTTTGATTTCCTGTAATAAGAAATTTGTCATAGAAATCTAGAAATGTTCTCTGGGACTGAAGTATTGCAGTCTTCTAACATTTTTAGTTATTTGTACTTCTTTGAAGATATACAGAGATCTTTCTTTTTATAAGTTCTTTCGACGTTTTACATACCTCATATCACACTCGTTGAAGGTAGTTAACATGGCTGTTGTATTTTGGGCCTCTTTTAGTCGTTCGGCGATTCGTTGTCTCATTTTGTTCATCGGGACTGGATGTTCTGTTCGTGAACCTGATATGGTTTTTGTTGGGTCACCTATCTTAAGTGATGCAGCCTGTGTGATTGTGTAAATCATTAATATATTAACAATTGATTGACCCGAATGACTATATCAATTAATTTGTTTGTGATCGTTTTAATTCCGTTTTAAAAAAAAAGTCATTTGTTTTTCTTTTACAAAGTTGAGGAGCCTTACGTGAGAGAGCTATGCTTTGACACAAATGGGACGGTCAGACCGGAGTGTTACCACGGCCTGACAGAAAACCGGCTTTATAAGCAATAGTTGATTTTCACCGAGTGATTGAGGTTACCGGACCCCAAATACCCTGATTCTAGGAGACGTCATATACTATTATATATTATATGGTTAATGGGACTAGTCCTTTCTACACGCCTACCACTGTAACTCCTGTACACCAGTGACCCACGAACACACCGAGTTATGACACTCTGGAAGTCCCAGGAAAAAAAATGAAACTGCAACCCGCAACGAAAATAATCAGAAGAAAATTGGAGGAGTTGGAAATATAATAAATCAACTTCCCTCCTTAGCAAAGCGGGAGGCAAAATGAATTAAAATAGGGAAATACACCTTTTTTAAACAGGGAAGCACCGCGGCCATAAAATATTATGGGTCTTAAGTAAGCTATATTTGATTTCTATAATATGTGTGGCAGAATCGCCTAAACGCACGGAAATTCACCCTAGTTAAAATAAGATCCCCATAGTATACCGCCCCAGATATCACCTGTAAGCTATTCAGCATTATATTACGTTCAATATTCTAAAGACTACATTCCCAGAGGATATGATGAGCAGACTGTTCACAGTTAGAATCAGTTGAGCATTGACAGAATGGTGACTCGACTAATTTAAATGAATACAGTTTGCTCTTAAAATTACCATGACTTGTAAGAAATTGAGCGACACAGTGATCCACTTCAAGCCGGCAACCGTTCGCGAACAGATAGAAAGAACTGGTAAAGGTGGCGTCCCTTAGATGATTCGTCCTAGCGTTGTTGTCATTCGTCTATGAGGTTATTATAGACTGCGGACTGCTGTTGAAGCAATCTTGTGATTTAATCGCGATCTCGTGCGCCCAAAAAGTCGTATTCCATGTTTTGTAGTATTGAATAGTACATGGCTGCACGTCTTTGCACCTCGAGATCGACCGGAAGCACACCCCCAACACCGAAAAGCCTCAGTGCTAACCGTCCTATATGCCTTGCACAAGAATATCAGTGTAAGTCGTTGGCTTTGTAAAAGTTTGCGATGGACAGCGCCTACGGTCACCCTATAGGCCCATACAGGTGCACCATAGCACATAGAACCGAAATAAGTAGCTCCGTATATGATCTTTAGTGTGTTAAATTATAGGCTTCATGTCGCAGTTGATATTTTGTCAATGCACAGAAACTAGTTTTAGACTTTTGTAATACATATTCTTGCAAGACATTTGTTTGTTTTACCCTTTGTTTTTAGTCCACACTTGATGGATTTAAAAAATTGAAACAATTGCCTCCAAAACCGGCCTTTTTAGTTTTTATCGTTACTTACCAGTGTAACTTTCACAATTAAAACGATTCTGTACCACCTTACAAGCAAAAGTCCATCAAGTTTGAATTAGTTTTGTATTAGGCATAAGTTTGGATATTCTATTGCGTGCTGTGGTCTCCTATAACTGAAGGAGTACACTATTCAAGTAAACTAAGTTTGTATTATATGTACTTTTGTGTATATCCTTTGTTGGAGATCCAATAAGTAAATAAATAAATAAAAAGATGTTTTGGCTAGAGAGTTTGTCAAAGAAATATTTATACATACGTAGTATATAAGTACATACATTCAGTCAACAGTAACTTTACACAACCCTGCTGCTTCCGCATTCGGGTAAAAAGTAAAGCAGTATTTCACAGGGTTTATTTTTAGGTTCAATTTTTTATGGTTTATGAGGGCGAATGAGAAGACAAGTCACCCGATGGTAAGTGGCTACCGCCGCCCATTGACACTGGCACCTCAAAAGTCACAAGTGCGTCCCCCTCCAATCAGGGGGAGAGGAGGTTTGGGCTCCTAAAACCTCACTTCCTCGGTGAAAAGTAACTGTAGCTTACATACCATCATGTATACCTGTACTACATTAAGGTCTCATATCTATATGTATAAAATCAATAATTAAAAAGGTCTGTAACAATTGTGTGTAACAAACGGACAAACTAACGCAACGTTGTTATTAGTAGCGAGTGCGAGGAACCGAACGTATTATGCGGTAGCACAGAGACAGTCGGTCCGCAAGTGGTTTTCCTACGTTCCAGATACGCTCGGCTCTTCGCACTACGCGCTTTTTTTTTTTTTTTTGTTTTTTTTTTTTTTTTTGTTGACGGGGTGGAAAATCCCTTCGGATCTCCTGCTCCTCGGGGCTAGGAGCTAGGAGTATGTGGTGATTCCACTAAAAACCACCCCGACGGCCGGCCTCAGGTGCCCTACTCTGGGAGGACCCGGACCATGTTATTTCAGGTCCTCCCCGAATTGACACCATGCCTAGTCAGGCCCTATCCCAGGGGGCTACGCGCTTAATGTTAAATGTTTTCTTTTGTTCTATTACGTTCTTACACTCCTGTTTTCTCTTAATTTCTAAAAATCTTAAAATCTTGTGTTAACGCTAATTCTTAAAGCTATAAGCTTTACTTCACAAAAATATCGACGGTGCTTAACAGTGTACGAGCTTATTTTATTTTGTACATCCTACGTATCTACACAACGAAAGAGTTGCTTGACATCAGTTCTCTGTCAGTGAGGCCCTGTTATCACTCCGGTTGAGCTGGCCCACTTGTACCGAAGCAAGGCTCCTGCTGTTCCCTCCTCCTGCTCCTGTGTGCTGCTGTTGTTGCACATTATCGGTTTAAACTGTTTTGTAATAATACTACAGGTAATCTAGTATAATTACAGTTGGTCCAGCTGGTGCCCTCGAGGCAGCAGGAGCAGGCCTAGGAGCCGGCCTGGCCGCTGCGACGGAGGAGGAAGCCGGCGCCGCAGCTTTAGGTGCTGGTGCTGCTGGTGCTGCTGCTGCAGCTTTGACAGGGGCTTGTCCTGTTACATTCACCTACGAGGAATAAAGTTGCCTGTTAAGACTGTGATGCGATTCAGTTATTAGTTTGTTAAGTATCAAACTTTCCAGTGTCAATTTTGGTTTGCGTCAAGTGTCCTGTCCCCCTCTACAGGCTAAATTGTTGCATTGAAGGAACAGAACCAAATCATGATGATATTAATCGATTTAAGAAGTAAATTATCTCGAATAAGTTAGCTCTTCCAGTTTTAGAGTAATATTCACCCAACTCGTAAAATGCAGCTACCTGGAACCCTTCGTATAAAATTTAAAATCTCTAAAATACGACGACGAAACAGCGTCATAAGTTGTAACTTCATACAACTTATATTCGTATTTAGTATATGTCAATCTTTTAACTGCTATATGCATAAAGAGATTGAGATCATATCTCTTTTGCACTCTTTGTAATAACAAAACAAAATTCATACAATCATGAGTGGTTGTTGTGACTTGACTGACTGGCCAGGCTTGACAAGCATCTTGGTGATGACACCGTGGCCTGGAGACATAACTGGCAGGGCTGTCTTATCTGTCTCAATCTCCATGACGACCTCGTCCATAGCCACTGCATCACCTTCCTTTTTAACGTACCTGATAAAAAAATGAAATTTTTATTAAGATGATCTCTTTTTATAAAATGGTTATAAGACACACAAACGTAAAATACGATCATACAATCATTTTTTTTGTGTAAAAAAGTATTCCCGTCGCTCGTCGCCATAATTTTATTTACTTCAATAATTACTGATTTCCTTGGAAGGAAATTTCGCCACAAATATGTCCCTACCTAATGAAAATATGTATATATATATATTTTCTAACTCGGCAGGTAGTTTTTTTTCGGGCAAACGAGTACCAGGGTACTGTCTAGGATACACCTGGTTCCCCGGCAACTGGTACCCGAGATGGCGTGCGGTTTTAGGTCGGTTCGAGTTCGACAAAACCGGACGCCGGTGGGTGGTATTCGAGGGGATTTCCGTACAGAAAAAAGGGGGGTAAACGAGCAGATGCACCTGATGGGAATTGACTATCACCGCCCATAGACACCTGCAACTAAAAGTCAACTGCGTTGCCGCCCTTAGTCTCTCTTCTCAGAATTAGGAGGAGAGATGGTTAGGGGCTCTGGTCACTTAACTCACTCAGTGAGAAGCAACAAATGAGATGGACGACACCGGTTGCGGGAGGCCCAAATCCACCCCTCCATTACTGCACGGATGGCGTAGCGCCACGCCGCTTACTACTACGCTGAGTGTTGTGGGTCTGATTGCCACATGGGACGACACTTTGTGTGATCCACAAATTGTTGTTCAGAGTCTGGGTGTTCTTTGTGTCCATTTCATGTATGTTTGTGAAGTCCCCCCGCAACACAGGATATATTCCTAATGCCGGAGTTGTCTAACTAGATGGACGGGAAGGGGGCAGGCTCAATGGCTGCCAACGCATTTGTGACTAAAGGATAACGATATTTGCCGATTATGATGAGAGTACGGAGAGCTGGCCTGTTTGGGGGATGTAAAATAAACTGAAAATTACTTGACGTCGCCTGAAGTCACAGAATCTGGATACGTGGGCGCTTTGACTTCCTCTTCCTTCAGTACTGCTACACCTGTATGGATAATGCATCTTGGCTGGTTTATAACTAGGCTTGGTTTCAATATCCTGATGACAAAAAAATTGCATAAATTGTCTTGTTGGTACGGGGGATGATGGAACAATTCATGATGAGTAAGTATATCAAAATAAAAATCTCAAAGTTGCACATTAGTTATCTTAAGGCTTGGAATATGGTATTTCATTGTGTAATATATAAGTAATAATGGCCACTACAACTCTCTGAAGAATCTATGTCGACTTAACCAGTAACCCTAAGTTATGTTGTTTTATATAAAGAAGAATGAGGATTGGGGAACAATTTTTAGACCAACATTTTTACGGCTTTTATACCTATACATACAATAGGTACAGATTTATGCAGAATATATAGATAATTAAATACAGAATAAACACTCTTCTTCCTTTCTACTCTCTTTCTCACTCTCTCCCTCTTTTTTCTTAAAACCATTTTTAATTGTTGGCTAACTTTTGTCTGCACGGATGGCGTAGTGGTTTAAGCGGTCACCAAAATAATATTTGTTGTTAAACATTAACATGCTGGTAAATGACAAGTGTCATACTGGCACACTGGCTTAGGAATGCGTGAGGCAAACAGCAAAAGACTCGAGACAATTATTTCACCCGAGTCTGGGGCTTCTTTGTCACTTGAATACCTATGTAAACTTCATCAAATCGGTCCCAGTGTGTAATGTTTTTGATAAGAAAAATAAAATTTGTGCTTGAGCCAAATTGGATATGGAATCTTTGTAAACAAATGGTATATCACCATATTTAGTAATATCATAACTTAAATGCAAAAAATAATAATTTTATATTTGCTTCTTAGTGATATTACCGATTTTACATCATTGCGTTTGCTTGAACGTTTTATTACCTACTTTTAGAACACAAAAAATAGCTAAACTCACTTCCAGTACAGTTTTCCAAAACATTATTAAAATAATAAAATTCAGTAGGTTTGCTCTGTTTTATAATGAATAAAATATGAATGAGTTTGAACGAAACTTTTCTTTTAAAATAATGATAACAAATTGTTTTATTATTAGCCATCGAAGAAGCTACATTTTTTTAAAATTGGGTCTAATCCCTCCCACACGTCCACCACTGTAACTCTTGTATACCAGGATCGACAGTAGTGACGCACGAACACAGCGAGTTATGACACTCGAAGATACATGTAATACATGCAAGCCTAATAAATCTGCCCCTGGCAGGCCCATCCACCCTCTCTGCAAATACCCTTAGTATGCCGTTGGTGCTCATCTCGACTGTGCGTATAATGGATGCTACCTTCTTACGCATTATCGACTAGTAGTCATCAATATACACATTAGCGAACATGCCTGATGTACTGCAATATTGGGGAAGCCTCAACAACGCCTTGAAGGTATTGTTGTATTGAATACGCAGAGTATTGTCTAATTTTTGGGTAGGTATGATTTACCCAAAGACTGCTGGTGGAAAATTTTTGGCAATATGCCTTAAACAATGTTATTTTAACAGGTACAGAGCAACCTGCGAAATTTCGAGACACCAAGTTTCCCCTCACAGCCTATGCCCTGCGTTCCCCTTTCCGTATTCAAGTCATTCCTCAAGTCCTCGACAAAGAAAAAGCTATTAAGAAGAATTTGCCCCCATATTTGTCAACGGATTTTCTTTATTTCTTTGTTTTGCTATATAGATCTTTATTAGTAAATCGTTTGCCAAAATATCCCGTCTTTCTGGATAGTAGTTGTCCATTTCCGCCTTCAAGAAGTTGCATATAGTTGTATTATCTTGTACAACTCCACCACAATCAAGAGCCAAGCATGTCACAAAGTCTTTTTATAATCTCTCTAGCATATCGCCAGAATCTTCCGATTATGGTGAACTTTTTAGTTAAAAATCGTTAATAATCCATCAGTTGGAATATCATCAATTTTAAACTAAGGAAATAAACTTAAGTGATGTATGTTAACGAAACAAAACTTACTTTATACGTAAAGATTTGCAGGTGTGCAGCCGCTGACACAAATAGTAGCTCGTATAACCAGCAGTGCTGTACGTCTGTCTGCCATTATATATCTGGAATAGAAATGAGACTTTACACAGGTACCTACAGTATTCCATCAGGGTGCCAGGGATTTCTTTTCTAGGTTATACCTGGTTCCCCGGCTACTGGTACCTAAGACGGTGTGCGGTTTTTAGTAGGTTCGAGTCTGATGTAACCATCCTAATGGTCGTTCGGTGGGGAGTATCCGAGGGATTTCCGCACGAAAAAATAAATAAATTTACACACATTATAATTATTTTATTTATTTATGCGATCAACGCTGAGAACTTATACTACCTTCTTATAAATTGATTTTGCTTATAGTCGTTATCATCACAGGCGATTTAAAGGATGTACACAGCGGGTCTAGACGAGCAGTAGAAAACGGCATTTCCACCACATCATCAACTTTAACAGTCCACTGCTGGACATAGGCCTATCCTCACAATGGATCAAGCAGCACAAGCTTAGTATTGTTACATTCAGCTTTCGGCGTGTGAAATTGTTTACCACGATGGTTTAACAGATACTTTTTGTATCTGTTAAGGTCGTAAACTATCTGTGTAATTTCATCAAAATCCGTTATTGCGTTATCAAGTGAAAGACTTTCAGTTGAGGAGTGTACGTTTGATTTTTGGCATCCCACAAGGCGCGAGTTCAGTTCAATCCAGTGTATATTTTAGTAGTTGGATTAATTGTATGTAGGCTGTGTAATGCACTGCATCCCGGGTCAAGATAATAAGTCTTTCTGTTGGGAGTTTTTACGCTTCACGGCTATTAACTACGGTGTGCTGTCAACAAGATTCGGAGAATTCGCTAGAGGCCCTGTACTGACCGAACCTTTCGGCTCCTTGGGGACGCAGAAACCAGCCACTAAAACCAGTCCGTCGGCCGGCCTCTTGGGCTCTACTCTGGGGAGATTGTGATCCCGGACCATGTGCTTTCAGGTTCTCCCCGATTCGACAGAACGCCTAAAATATTTTTTCTAATCCTAGGTGAGAATCGCAGTCAGGATCGCTAAGGGCAACAGACCAGTCAAGTCAGTAAGTCCAATAACTGTGAATAAGGTAAATAACGACGATTCAAAATGTATTGTCGCACTTTTCGACCTGCCATGATCACAGACTTACTATAATAATAATTGTTATGATAATCGGTCTGTGACCATGGAATTCCAGTATTAATAATTATATTTCGTGAAGTCCGGCAGTTTAAGGGTTAGTTAGCATTCGCTAACTGTTCAAAATGTCTCAAGTATAGTCGTATTTAAAAAAATCATATTATGTAATAAAATGATTAAATAAAAACTTACCCGTTGCAGCACCTTTGAGCTTCTACAGAACATTTTATCACTAAGTGAATAAATTTAGCCTATAAACTTGAATAACAACAATAAATCATCATAAAAATCCAAGTCAAAAACTTTGAAGTTGGTTTTTTCATATGTCAAATAGAATTCTTCTATAATGCCAAGACTTTGATACTTTATATTAAAAGAGGTAAGATATTCTACAAGAAAAAACTGCGAATATGTTTGGTGTGGTCCATCGCATAATAGATGTCAGGAGTAGGTCACACAGCGCTTGCCGACAGTAGGGGATTAAGTTTAAAGCTAGTGCTCAAGAGATGGCGCACTCAAACTGTGGTTTAGCTATTTGTACATAGGGAGCGCTTTCTGGGAAATAATTCAAAGAAGATTCTTGCTCTTATTCAAGTTTTCAACAAGAATATTTTTAGATCTTCTTTTACTACTTTAAGAAGCTACCGTTTTTTATCATGTAAATATTTTAAATGTATGTATGTATACTCTTTGTTAAATGATGATAACTCATTCCAAAGGTCGGCCGGTCTGTCAGGCCGGTAAGGAAAAAGAGCCAGATTGTTTAAAGGTCAACAAGCATCCAATAAAGGTATGTAAGTGGTTTCCGTTACCTCTCGGAGTGTTAGTCTGGCGACCCAACCTAGTAATTGAAACATAGAATTGATTACAAGAGTTGATTACATATTTTTTCTGTAGTTTCTTTTCCAATCTGTCAGGTTTCAGCATTTGTAAGTTCGCATATTAGTTATACTATATAATATATTAAAGCTATGTAACATGTATACTACGAGTATGTATAGTAGTTAGCGAACACAAAAAGTCAGATTTATTTTGACAAATTATGCCTGATATGATACATTGTGTGAAATTCAATTGAATTGTAATAATAATAATATAAAATAACGTTCTATTTTTTTTATTTGTATACTTTCAGATATATTTTTTTGTATCAATTGAAATTGTATTTATATCTACTTGACAAATTTAGAAAATTTTATGTCATATGTAGTAACTGTAAATTGTGTTCCTAATTCAATTTAAATGTGATGTACTACTTCAAATCTTAATTTGTATGACTTAATTGGGCGGACATGCTTAACGTTGCGTCTAACAACACCTTAGATATTAAATGATTATATTGTATAATCTTCCTCCTCCAAACCTTTCTCTCAAATTAGGTAGGGCTCGGTTTTTAGTCTACTAGGATACGGCTGAACTTCGACTTTTTACGCGGAGCGACCATCAGACTTCCACAACCCAAGTACTAGGCGATATCGAAGTTCTGTTGTAAGACTGTTGTCGACCTTTTTTTGAAGGCTGTAACTACCCGTAACGATTGCCACAGATGTTCTGTGCCTTGTAGGGCACGTTAAACCGTCGGCTTGACGTGCTCTCCCAGGCACGGAGGGATCTCAATGTCTTAAGAATGTTCACCCATCCATAGACTGACCTTTTTAGGAATGCCTAACTTTGCAGTGTGGTAACCCCACTTAGTCGCGAGCCCTTGAATTATTACGTATTGTGTTCAGCATTAAATAATATAATTGATTGATGTTGCCTATTATATAATTGTAGGTTTAGTATTTTCTTCTGTTTCTTGCATTCGATTTTACACTTTCATAAACCTAGACATACACACAAAAGTAATTATAACAACATGTTCATTTTATTCCCTTCGTTTAACTATTTCCTTCTCATATTTTATTGGGAATGTTAGTCACACACAGCCTTGCACTTAATAAAGATTCGTTGATGTGTTATGGTGCTAACGGCATTCCTCAAGGTGCCTATATTCTCTGTGAAAAAGATTGAAAAATAGATGTATTCATATTTAAATAAATCTAAAACATATAATCAAGTAAGTGGATTTAAATGTAAATACTATTTGATTTTCACCCTAATCTAAATAATTTGTCACGCTTCGTATAGTATAAAAATAACTTGACACTGTCTGATCCACCTGACTATGGTACCTAGACACACCTAGACACACACAGAGCCTGTACTATGGTATCTAGACTGCTGATAATTATACTTATTTTTCTAAATACATATTATAGATAAATTATACTCAGACACAGAACAAATGATCGTGCACATTAATCGGTTGGATCTGTTACGTCTTAATTATATTTATTTCAATATTGACATTATAGAGTCCCTCCGATCGGTAGCGGTTAAATGTACAAGGACCCGAAAATTAATTCATTAGGTGCGTGGCCCCTTGCCTGCAGGAGTATGGGAGTTATATGTAGATATTAAAGCTCTTTGAGGAACATTAGCGGTGCCCGTGACCATTCAAGACGACGTTATGCGTCTTCTTGTAAACATCTAGGGATGTCGAGATACTGGCAACATCGCTAATTTTATAGAATCAAGTCTAAACACATACTGACAATTAAAACTGTTAGATAATATAATAATCGACAGATTGTACCAGGACTTGAGTCACGAATTTTGCAAAGACGAAATACATAGTAAAATATTTGTGAAAAGAAACATTTAAAACTAAGGTTTGTAGAAATTTAGTGTTATGTTAAATCAGGTTAAATATCGTGGTTTTTTAAAGTGTTTAAGTTTCAAGTGATACTTCAGCTGGGCTTCTAAAACTACACGGTGTACCATACTGCGCTTAAAATGAGTAGACCGTCAACGGTCCAGCGGTATGCGCTCAAGGCCACCAAGCGCTAGCCTGTGTATTGGTAAGCGGGCTCCGATTCTTAACTTAGCGATGTCTAGTCAAATTCGGATATACAGGACTAAACTAAGGCTTTATTGACGTAAATCAATTTGTATGCACTCGCAGGTGGCTCCTATGGCAATATGAGGCATTTATTAACACGCCTTCAATCACCCAGAATATTCAGGCAGAGTATGATGTACCGAGTTATCACTGCAGACGTCTGAAGAAAGGTCGACGAAGTAGTCTACCATCACTACGAAGTGATGGAAGGCTCCTACAGCGACCTTTCTTTAGTCCTTACGACTTAGTGCAGCTACTTTAGTTAAAAGCTTTGTCCGATAAGCACCAGGAACTCGGAAGATAAGAGATCTGTGATGCTCCTCTACTCACTCGTCAACAATTAAAGTAAAGTACGGCGGCACGGCGGTAAAGTTTCCACCCAGTGAGGCACCGTACAGCAATGGCCGTTGCAGCAAGCATTTTTTACAAATAAAACTAGGTAGCTAAACTATGATCAACTTTATTTCTCAGAAAAAAATACTGCTAATAAATTCTCATTAGATGTTTGACAACCCTACCGTGTAGAAGGGTGTCTCCCTCGCCAATTTGCTAAGATTCGTGCAACCCGCATCTTTGATTACAAATCTGCGTCCCACCATCACGTCCTACGTACCGATGTCCGATGATAGTAGGTATTCATATTGAATGCCATTTTGCTAGTATAACAAATGTCTAGTGCCTTACGGGGAAAGTAAATTATTTCTGAAACTGCGTATCAAAATTAAAATTCCATAAATGTTTATGGCGGTAACCTAAATTAATATGCAATGGAAAATTCTAATTGATGTCTACAGATTTTATTAATTACCAAGTAGAGTCAATAATTGTAGTTAGTACTGTATGTCTTTTTTTAATTACACTGTGATGTTTTATCTGTCATTCTCAGTTCTGAAGATATAGTTCATTAAATGTATTTATTAATGGTGTACAGCATTCGTTACACTGTCTAACTCGCGTCTTTTGTAGAATCGTGTTCTATTGGTCCGATTATGCGTTAGTCGGGACTCCGATACTAGTAGAAAATAATGAACTTTGTAAACTCTACATGTTCCAGATTATTGGACGACTGGATGGCGTAGTGGTTTGTGTAACGGACTGCTATTCCAAAGGTCGCGGGTTCGATTCCCGCTCAAGTCAAACATTTGTGTGCATGAACATTTGATGTTTGATTTGGTCTGGGTGTTTCTATGTATGATATGTATGTATTTACAAAAAAAAAGTATATATGTATTTATATCAGTTGTCTAGTACCCATAGTACAAGCTCTGTTTAGTTTGGGACTAGATGGCGTTGTGTGTATGTGGTAGAATATATTATTATATATTATATTTGCAAGAAAATATAAACAGGAGAAAATAATATTGAATATAGAAACTGTAGCAGTTTACGTAGGACGTTGTTGAAAAGAGCGCCAGCTGGCAGATAAGTTTTGAAGTCTTAAGTTATTAATACTTCGATGTATTGTTTAGAGGTAGAGCCAACACGAGCCCGGCTTACTTTTGGCTGTAATGCATATAGGCGTAAGTGAGTTCTGCTTTGCTGTAAACTAGTTGTAAACCAAATGTTATAGAAAAAAATTTAAAATATAAATATACAGAAGACATACTTTTTATTTATAAAATGAGAAAATATCTACAAAAATAAGAAAATTTGCGAGACCAGATTAATTTCTAATGAATATTGTTCAGCTGTAAAGTAATTAAAGTACAGTTGGGTAGACCCTTTATGACGGATCAACCCATGAACGGAACAAGGAACAATAATATTTTTATTACATTTAATCGTTATAAAACATTATTTCTAAAAAAAATGTAATTGATTTCCCCTAACATATTATTACTAAACTGGACAGCAAATAAACCGAGCCACCCGCTACCTAGGCACTCTAATTCGATTTTCTCAAAAACTAAAAACCTACAATTAACAAAGTTGTACCTACAGAAAGTGCGTTTTATGGTGATTAAAATGAAAGGAAACTCATTGGGTTTAATCAATATTTCAGTGTTTATTAAGGATTTTACAAAGAAGAGTCGTTTTCCAGTCGTGACAATCGTTAGTAATGATAAAGTGAAAAAAAAAATTAAAGCCAAAAACAAAGATAAAATCAAAAAAAAGTTTTTGATCAATATTCCGTATTCCCTCCCCTTGCTCGGATAACTGCCAGCATCCTTGTATTCATCGACCTTACGAGCCTGACGATAAAATCTTGAGGAATTGTATTCCACTCCTCTTCAATTGTGATTCGCAGCTCTGGAAGCCTTGTTGGAGCAGGTACCCGGGC